ATTCTCTCATCTGTTATTAGCCTAAATGTTTATTTCATACTGCCTCCCAATTTTAGTAATCTTTAAAAATGTTTTAATAAAGGTAGGTAGTATTAGAGGAAAGGGGCCCAGACTAGGCGTTAGAAGACCTGAGTTCTAGGCCTGGCCCACTCCACAGCCATAAGATGAACTCCTTTGTCTTCTGAATCTCTGCCTAGACTGGGGAGGAAAGTGGGTTTTGGGAAACGTCTACTTTGGGGAGGGAGGCATGCATACGTCTGCCATTCAGCACATTCCGGTATCGTAACGATATAATAACAACCCCAGCTCTACATGGGTGTAGGATAAGGTTAATCCACTTACACTCTTAAAGGACATTTGGAAGTAAGTTGGGATAGCAGTGGTTGACAGCCAGAGGGAAGGCAGTTCCTGTTCTTTTTTTGGAGGTTCTTTCATGGTTTTGGTTCTTTCATGAGGAATATGGCTAAAAGCTCAGGCTGAGGTATCAAGCAGACCTGGATTCCTCTCTCAGTTCCAACTACTTACTATGTGACCTCGAAGGCAATATTTAACCCTTTTAGCCACAGTTTCTGCATCTGTAAAATGTAGATAAAATTACCTATTATAGAGTTAGAATTAAATGAGATAATGCTTAGCCAAAGGGCTTATACATAGGAAGAATTCAATTCAGTAAATAGCTGTTATTGTCCTCTTCCAGGACTTATATTCTCATTTTTCTTTCTATGGAGATTAAATAACATTACTAGGTGAAGCAAATTTAATATTATTATAATATTGGAGAAACTACGTAGCAGCACTTGGCCACTTACTATTTTTCACTATTTGTTTTGGTGATATATGCATGTCAAGCAAATTTTTGTTTCATTTTTTTGCAAATGACATAAATAAAAATTATTCTGGTTAGATTTAAATTGCCTTTAGCTGCTAATGTAGGGTTCTATGCTTTTTCCTGATGAGAAGCTACTTTTGAATTCCTGAGCATTAGATAGACTCTAATTGGAATGGGGCTTTCTAACAGTTAATGGACAACAATGATGCATTTATTTATGGGTCTATATACTGAGATACATAGGCAGTCTGTATGCATTTATGGGCAGTTAAATAGTGCTATGTGTATACTTTAGGGGTGAGAGGAATCAGTGCTGAGCACACCCTCTTCCCCATGGGAATTCTGGAGACTAGGAAGTCTCTGAGTTCTTTGGGGAGAGAAATATGGGCAGCTAGCTTGGAAATTAGCCAGGTAAAGCCTCTAGATTTATTGGTACATCCTAATTGATTTACTGGGGACTTTTATTTTAAAGCAACACTGTTCAATAGAAATATAATGTGAGCCATGTATGTAATTTCAGATAGTCTGGTAGCCACAGTTAAAAGGGTAAAATGAAGTCTGAGCAACATAGCAAGAC